TTTGTTTTGTCTATCACAACATTCTTGGGCCAGATATCTTCCTCTTATCTCCCAACTGTCCTTGCTGGAAGCAGCTTTTGAAGGCCGTTTTCCTCTGCTAAAATTTTCACGGGCGCAGTAAAGATCAAATTGACCCTTTTGTATCATGTTGAGTATAGCATCAGGGGAGTTTATTCTTTTTCTAGGGACTATAAGCATGATATCTATTAACTGGGGAAGGGGAGAACGGGTTGAGGACTGTCATCTCTACACACTGAGTATGTTCAGTGATGTCAAAGTGCTATGGTGAGCAGGCAGCTAAAATCAGGACACCAAAATAAGATTTCTTCAGCTTAAGCTCAGCTAGAGGAGTTAAACATAAAGTGAATGCAGTAATGGTAGGGTATTTGCAGTCAGGGGGACTGACTTTACTCCTCCTAAATTAGTTTGTCTCACTGTAACTGACCTAACAACAAGCTGCCCTAAAACTCTTACACTCTCTAGTATCTAGTAGACTGGCTGAAGTAAGCTCAGATAGCTGATTTGCCTTACATCAGTGAAATTGTGGGATGCAAATGGTTCTGTGAGCTACTGCTTTATTTAAAAAAAAAAATTATTGCCTAATTTGGTCTCTTTGTCTCAACAGATGTTATAAATGATCAAATCATGAGCCAAAATTATCAAAAATTTAGCAAAGATTTATTAATTTGTCTGCGAGACCGAAGTTCAGTCTTCGAAACCACCACAGCCAAAAAGACAGCGTCAAGCCCGGGATTGGCGCTGGGTGAACTCAGATTTGACCTCCCAAGTGTCAAAGTGCCCCTTGTTCACCCTCGCAGCTTTGCGCAGCAAGGTTTTATACAGTTTATTCTGCCTGAGGCAAAGATGACCGAATTTTCTTTGTGTCTCTTCACATGCATGCTGTTGCTTTCCATGTGCAGAGGTGGACAAAAGCCTTGTCCAGGTGTGCCATTGGTGTCAATTGGCTTCGGAGGAGCCGTGTATTCAGATGTATCAGGGTGGCGCTGCTGACTATCTCGATAGATGCAATCAGCAAGGTGATAATCGCTTTCGGGTGGCCCCTGACAACTCGGGAAACCAGCAATCATCGCCCTGGAAGCTTCTATTCTTACACTAAGGCATCGATAGTTATCTTAACATGTGTCTGGGAACTAGTTGAATCTAAATAGACAGCTGCTCCTGGCCAGGGTAGTCAAAAGATATGGTTTGGATTTCACAATATTTTATACCATGCATTAATAGCATGAATTTCCCCTACCATATATTACAACAGAGAATTGGGCTTTTTAGTGAAAAAACTGATCTATAATCATGGCTGCTGCTGCATCTTTTTTTTTTTTGTTCACCTAAAAGCTATATCTGTGTGGAAGACACAGGTTCTGCCAAAAAACCTTACAGTTAGCTCAACCCTGAGTTTTGTTGTGTCTTGCATTTTTAATCTCAGGGCTTGGTTTGTTTTTGTTATATATTGGATCACGCGAAACTGCATGTAAGCACAGTGTTATAAATGATCAAATCGGTAGCCAAATTTATAAAAAATTTAACAAAGATTTATTAGATCAATAACAAAAATAGAAATTTCGAAAAAAAGGAAAAACCACCACAGCCAAGACAGCGACAGCCCCGGGTGCAGGCGCTGGGTGACCTAGGGTTCCAGCTGACAGAGAGACGGCGTTTCCCCAGAGGTACACCCTGAGTGCTTCCACCGGCCAGCTTATATACAATTTATTCTGCCTGGGACAGGGATGACCACATATTTCTTTGTGTCCCTTCACATGTAGAGTTGGATCCGTACATGTGTAGGAACAGACAAAAGCGAATCCGGAGATGCAGATGAATGTCTGACTATCCAGGCAGAAGCTGCATTCACATGTAATAGAATGATACCAGTTCCTGAGTACAGTGATGAAATCATGTTCAGGTGCAGGTCCTGTGAGCTCCTCGAGACATTCAACATTCCATTCCAGGAAGGTCCAGATGCTATCTCCCAGGTGTAGGAGCCAGAGGCAGAGGAATTCCCCCCCCCCCCCCCCCCCCCCCCCACCGGCCCCGTAATAGGCCGGGACTGTCCCATTCATATGGTAACAGACCTTATATTATCTTAACACTGTCCAGGAACTGGTTACAATAAGAATAGAACTCTGTTCCCAGCCAGAGTGGTCAGAAGCATAACTTTGGATCTTTACAATATTTTATTCACATATATATCTATTTCTATAGCATGAATTATCTCTACCATATACTACAATGGGAATGGGCTTTCCTGGGAAAACCCCAGTGGTCTGGAGGAATCTGTAGCTTATACAATGCAAACACTTGAGCTGAAGTGAATGTGTTCTGCCCTGGGTAAATCTTTGCTCTGCTCCCATTGCAGGGTGGCATGTAGAGCTAGGCACGTCCTTGTTGCCATAGCCATAGACACTCTCTTCTGTGGTGGTGTGGTGACAAAAGGCATTCGTTTGCTGCTCTTGAAGCCATGCCATTTGTGTAACTGACTTTGAACTGTGGGCTAGGATTGTTTATACAGATCATAAATATTTTGCTTGTGAGGGTGCTGTGGCAAATGACTGAGGCAAGGAGTCAGTGGTGCTGTAACATATCCACATAGAGTCAGTATCATGAATAGGCATGTACAGACTGTAAAGCCACATGAGATTCTGAATTTGTTTCATAAAGGTGAACAGAAAAACCTTTTCCTGCGTACCTGGCACTCTGGCCTCATAAAATTTGGGTTGCAAGACAAAAGCATATGCCAGTCTAAGTAAAACAGTAGCCAAGTTATCAATGGCTCTAATCCAATCTGTTTGCCTGGTCCTGTTTCTTGGAATAAAAGTTCCCATAGCTTGTCCTGTTAAACAAGGTCAGCACCCTGCATCTAAGTTGTATGGTTAAGTGCTTAAATGGAAGAGGGTGACCCAGGATTCTGCTCTCATTGTATGTGACCTGCTTTTGGGGTCTCTTTTTGTATTCTCAGTTGATTGTGAGCCTAGCTGTGGTGCAGGTGCCAGGAGATGCTTCTCTGGAGATGGCACATTAGACTGATGGGACTTTCTTGGTGGGTTGAGCAGTGCCAAGGGAAGGATCTGTGCTCCACAGTGCAGAAAGTGGTCTGTGAGTCCTTCTTTGAGGGGAGTATTTTTGTCATTAATTACTCCAGATTCAGCTTGCTTTCCTACTGGCTGGCTGTTCTAACTGCTGTGAATGGCAGAACAGCACAAGGAAGTTAATATTCAGTGTTAGGACTTCTGCAGCCTTCCCACAACTGACTTGGTTCTCAGAGTCTAGCCCCACATCTGCCTACTAATCGGAGAGGTTCGGGAAGGTAATTTTGCTGTCGTTGCCCATTAATATTTGGTTCATCAAGTTATGCTGATTTAATAAACAAACAGATGGTATTCAGACTTGGAGAATGCTTTTGGCGGCAAGAAATGTAGTATTAGGAACACAAGTATATGGACCAGTGTCCCGGTTTGAGACAAATTTAGGATGAAACATCCCGAAAGGGTGTCTCCTCTGAAGAAGGCAGATTTCAGCAACCCCTCCTCCACACAAGGCTCAGAAAAAATTCCCCTGGAGAAAGTAGAAAAAAGAACTGTTTATTTAACAAGCAAAGTGTTCACAGGCATGAATAGAATAAATAATGTGAAATAATAACACCTCTCGCTGCTCTGAAGCAATAGTAAATTCAGAGTCCTTCTGTGGTTCAGAGAGTCCTTCTGTGGGTGTTCCTTGGCTCTCTCTATGTCTCTCCCCCCCCTCCCCCCGGTGCTGGGCTACAAAGTTACGACCAGTGTGGTGTGGGAGGGGGCCCCAAGCGATGGTGTTCCAGACCGGAGAAAAGCTGAAGAGTTCCAGAAGAAGAAGAAGCCACAGTCCCAGGAAAACGCTTTTGCTTTAGCTACTAGAAAAACTAGATGAAAGCAAAGAAGAACTCTCCATCTCTTTTCCCTGCTGCAGGGCTGCGAAACTGGAAGAAAAACTCGAACCCTTATCTCTGTTTTTAAACACAAGCAGGGAAAGGAATTTCCACCACTTCCCCCGCTTCTCTCTTCGAGCTTGCTTAAAGGCACAGGACTTATATCTGCCATAAGGCAGACAGTAGGGGATTCAATACAGCATCATAAAGTCACCCTAGGACCACCAGTTTAACTTGCACAAGAAAGGCAAAAAAACCCCAACCCTTTAGATCTTAATTGAACAGGTATTCAATAATTTTTATTTTCCCACACAGAAAGAGTAATTAAAAACTTTTGCACTGGCAAATGTAGAACAGGTCTTAATTGGTATACACAAGACAGATGATGGACCTTGGACCTGGCTAGCATGAGATTTCATAAAAGGATGCCTTGGCAAGAACAAACAGCTTTCAAGATTGAAAGAAGATTAAATCAGACTGGTTTACTGGAAAAAGAAAATTCCATCAACTTCTGCAAGCAAAAGGTGTTTAAAATGTATAAGTTTGTTTATGTGATGATTAACCCAGTCATTGCAGGAAAACATTACTAGTCTTCCTAGAATAAGTATATAAGCACTTGTACTTCACAATAAATTCAGATTCTTTGACCATCACACAGTCCCCATCTTTCTCCAATCACTGATAGTCTTTTCACCTTAGCAAGTTTTTTTATCCTTCAAGTGTTTTGAAACTAGCAAGAGTGCAATTATATCTTGAGCTTTAGCTTTTCAAATCTAGCTTATTCTGTTGAACAACAGTTGTTGGATAGTACTTCTTGAATTAGGATTTAGTAAATTCCTTATGGATTGTTTTCTGAGTGTTACCAGCCCAAGTAAGGCCTGGTGTTTAGATTTTTCTTGTTCAGTTAGTATTGTCTTCATAAGAAATTGTGTAGAGTTATACTGTGGGTCCACATGGGCACTGATATATAAAACAAGCTATTTAATGGACATATTGGAATTTTTTCCATGTTTTTCACTGCAATGATTGCTTGTTGATATCTTTGTTCTGTTTCATAATTAAAATATTTTGCTTTATTTTCCAGGCTCACATTAAATTTCCTATTGACTATCCATATTCACCACCTACGTTCAGATTCCTGACCAAAATGTGGCACCCCAACATTTATGAGGTAAAGTGGTTTTTAAGCTAATAATTTTTTTCCAGTATGTGAAAAGGTTTCCTATGTCCTTAATTTCTGGAAGTATTGAAGGTACTAAACATCTTTAGCCGTAACTAAAGTGTTAGCTGTTTGTGTTTAAATGTCAGCTTCATGGTTGCAGAGTTAAATCTAAATGTTGTAGGAAATGCTGTTTCTGTAGGCAGGGATGGAGCCTTTCTCATACCTGCAAGTGCAGCAAGTACCCCCAGCTGAAGAATCATGTCATGGGTGTTGGCAGTTTTAGGGTATTCTTGGATCCCCTAAACTGGTGTGTGGAGTCTTGCTGTACTGGGATACTTAGACAACTAGTTGTTTGTACACCTTTCAAGTACATTTTTAATTTGAGTATATCCTACAAAATTTTGTGATGAGACAAGAAATGTTAGGGAAAAGTCTCCTGCAGCAGTTAACCTATGATAAAGGGGTTTGGACTTGGGGTGCTCCAACTGCAGAAAGAACCAGAGCTGGAGTCCATCTTCAGGAGTCATGCACAGCCTTGTCACCCTAAGACCAGAGTGAACAGATACCGTTTGACCTAATGCCTGCTAATCAATTTGAAGAAGCCCTTAGTTCAGTGCATATATGAGTGGTGTTCAGAGTGTAACACTGGGCTATCAAGTCCATGATTGGATCATGGTATAACTACATAGCAAGTTCAGAAGGAGAATTATTTATATAAAAAGTTTTTTAGAAAGAAGCACTCCCTAGCTTGAAAACATTTTCTTCATGATGCTGAGCGTGGACTGCTTGAAGAGATTTAAAGTTGTGAAGGACTGTCTTAGGCTGGAAATGGGGGTGTGTATTCTATTCCCATCTGTTAGAGGTGGAGCAGTTATCTTCTTTTAATTGGGCAGTTTTCTTTATCTCTTCCACAAACAATCCTCCCACCTGGGAGATATCTTCTGTTAATGGGCCACTGAGTGTCACTGCATGACTGATAAAAATCACATCATCCCATTGTGAGATGCTCTGCCCAGGGGGAGGAGCCAAGCATTCCTACCCAGATATAATCAGACATTTGGAACAACAGAGACAGCCTTTTCCCACTGGATTCCCAGAGGAGCAGCTGTCTTCTCCACTGGATTCCCAGAGGAAGATCAGGCCCATCTACACCACCACTGGATCTTCAGAGGAAAACTACACCCTTCTACAGGATCACTGCTTCAACAGAACCACATCTGCCACTCCAGGAGGATAGCAGCCACCATTTATTCGCACTGCTACCAACACCCTGACCAACAGGGTGTCAGGTTGTGTTCTGACTCCGTCAGTGTTTTGTTTTCTGGTTTCTTGTACTATTGCATTTGTATTTTTAATTTTCCTGGTAAAGAACTGTTATTCCTATTCCCATATCTTCGCCTGAAAGGCCCTTAATTTCAAAATTATAATAATTCGAAGGGAGGGGGTGAACATTTTTATTTCAAGGAAGCCTCCTGCCTTCCTTAACAGACACCTGTCTTTTCAAACCAAGACAGTGAATGCTGATATAAGGGTGGTTCTGAGAACTTGTAAGTCATCTCACAGAGGGCTGCAGGAGGCAGCAAGCCTGTGGGGCCTGGAGAGGCCAACATCTGCTGTCTGGCCCCAGGCCCCATCTGCACTTCCACCTCATCTGGCACTGAGACCCCACAATTCTCTGGAGTTAGCTTCAGTGAAGACTCTCATCTGTGGTAGATACTGCTATAGCAATCCTGCAAACTACTCATGTCAGAATGCTATTGGTGATGAATAATTGGTTTTATAGGCATCTTAAAGTGTCTAAATGGTAGGCATTATAGAACTTTAAATCTATCTTCAGGTCATAGCACTGTGAGTAGATTGATACAGACTGAGGATTATGTAGCTGTGTGGTTTCCATATCCTGCCAAAATATTCTTCCTCTTGCATGCTGGAAGGGATTTTCAGTGAAACCTTCAGAGAGCATCTCCTGCTTTTTCACCTGACATTTTGAACAGCTGTGTCCTAGGAAAGCAGTGTAAGCCTGCCTCACACCATCTGTTCAACATTCTTGTGTCCTGAGAGAAGCATTGTTTTAATACCTGAGCTAGTAGAGTGTGCTAAACCCTTCAATTAAAAAATTCCTGGAACTAACTCAGCTACCAATGATGTGGTGGGTTGACCTTTGCTGGATGCCAGGTGCCCACCAAGCCACTCTATCATTCCCCCTTCTCAGCTGGACAAGGGAGAGAAAAAAAGATGGAAAATGACTCATAGGCTGAGATAAGACAGTTTACTAAAGCAAAAGCAAAAGGTTGCACACATACAAAGAGAAAAAAAAGGATTTTATTCTCTATTTTCCATTAGCGAGCAATGTCTAGTTGCTTCCCGGGAAGCAGGGATTCAGCATGTGTAGCGATTGGTCTGGAAAGCATTGTAAAATAATGAATGCCCTCCAGTTCTTCTTCCCTCCCTTATCTTTTATATCTGAGCTGATGTCATATGGTATGGAATATCTCTTTGGTTAATTTGGGTCAGCTGACTTGGTTATGTCCCCTGCCAGGATATTGCCCTCCCCCAACCTACTGATGGATGGCAGAATGGTGAAGAGACAGTGCTGATGCTGTTCCAGCACTGCTCAGCAGTAGCCAAAACACTGGTGTGTTATCAGTACCTTTCCAGCTACCAAGGTAAAGCACAGCACTCGGAGGGCTGCTATGGGAAAATGAACTCCAGCTCAGGTAGACCCAATATTATTCCATTCCAGTATTATTCCACTCCACCCCTTATTCCATACCATTTGTGTCATACTCATATGTCACATAATTTAAAACATATATATCTTAACTATTCCATTGTATTTAATACTCATTACTGAAATCCCTTCTTACCAACTCTTACAACACAATCTACGTTTTAAAACCATCTCTATACCAAACATACAGATTTATACATTTTCATTTACTATCTCCCATCCTTTTACAGATAGATATTATTTTCCCATTCCAATTTTAATAGATTTTTCAGATACTTATACAGTCAAAACCCGTAGAAATCCATTGGTTCAATGTTCATTGCTCCCAAGTTATTAAGTATTTGATTTCCTATTGGCTACCGATCTCTGCCTCCATGCTAATTAGGTCCTCATTCTTATCTCTCTTTTCCCAGATCAGGTGTCTCTGACTATGCCATTGGTCATGTGTGGAGTTGGTGGTCATAATAGTCCTTGATGGTCATTATCTTTTGTGTATCTTCTGTGCTACTCCCAGTCTGTTGAGATGTTAAGCTCATGAGACCTCACCTGGTGGACCAATCCCTTGAAAAGAAATTTCAATGCCCTTCCCCCATGGCAAGAGTGAGCAAAACTGACTAAAGCTACATAAAATATTTTAATCTTTGTAGCATTTCTAACAGCATGGCTTGCAGGGTGTTTCCAGCCAGCCAGTTATTCCCTCCAGCATGGGGAGTATGTAGCTCTTACCTTGGTATATTGATGGCAGTGGTCCAATGTAGTCAATTTGCCAGGCCTCACCACATCAGAAACCCAGCCCATGCCCTCTACTCCAAGGAGATTCTACTTGTGAGAGGGCTTTAAACTAGGTTTGAAGGGGGAAGGGGATGAAGATGGGCTGTCTGGAAGAAGGCCCAAGGGTGGTAAGCCTGAGATAGGGGTGAAATCAGTAGCCCAGCTGAGGTGCATGTATACTAATGCATGCAGCATGGGTAACAAGAAGAGCTGGGGGCCATGATGTAGCAGCAGAGCTATGATGTAATTTCCATCATGGAAACGTGGTGGGACGACTCAAATAGCTGGAGCACTGCACTGAATGGCTACAAGCTCTTCAGGAGAGACAGGAAAGGGAGAAAGATGGAGGGGTGGCCCTTTATATTACGGAGGCTTTGGACGCCATAGGTATTGGAACTAATGCCAATGAAGTTGAATGCCTATGGGTAAGAATTAGGGGGAAGGCCAACAAGGCTGACATCCTACTGGGAGTCAGTTATAGTCCACCCAAGCAGGAAGAAGAGGTGGACAACTCATTCTATAAGCAGCTAGAGAACGTTTCTGGATCATCAGCCCTTGTTCTTGTTGGGGATTTCAACCTACTAGACATTTGCTGAGAACTTAATACAGCTGACAAAAGGCAGTCCAGGAAATTTTTAGTTTGTGGAGGACAACTTTTTGTCGCAGCTGGTGGGTGAGCCCACCAAGGGAGGGACTATGTTAGATCAGTTATTTGCAAATAGAGATGGGTTGGTGGGAGATGTGGTTGTTGGAGGCCACTTGGGGCATAGTGATAATGAAATTATAAAATTCTCAATATTTGGTGAAATCAGGAGGATCATTAATAAGACTTTTACATTGGACTTTCAGAGGGCAGACTTTGGCCTATTCAGGAGACTCATCCAGAGAGTTCCTTGGGATGCAGTCCTTAAAAACAAAGTAGTTCAGGAAGCGTGGGCATGCTTCGAAATGGAGATCTTGAGGGTACAGGAACAGACTGTCCCCATGTGCCGAAAGATGAGTTGATGAGGCAAATGTCCAGCCTGGATGGGCAAGGAGGTTTTGGAGGAACTTAGGAATAAAAAAGAGATGTATTATCTTTGTAAAGAGGGTCAAGTCTCTCAGGAAGTATTTAAGAGGGCTGCTGTAGTATTTTGGGAAAAAATTAGGGAGGCCAAAGCTCAGTTTGAACTTAAAATGTCAACTTTTGCAAAGGATAATAAAAAATGTTTTTATAAATATATTAATGGTAAAAGGAAGAGTAAGACTAACCTTTGTTCTTTATTAGATGCAGAAGGAAACTTAGTAACTGCAGATGAGGAGAAGGCAGAGGGGCATAACACTTTCTTTGTTGCAGTTCTTAGTGGGAAGACTTGCCTTCAGGATAAGTATCCTCTTGGGTTGGTCGATGATATCAGGGAGCAGAATGGTCCCCCCATTATCCAAGAAGAGGCAGTCAGAGAACTGCTGAGACACTTGGATATTCATAAATCCATGGGACCAGATGGGATCCATCCCAGGGTGATGA